AACTGCTCATAATGCACAAACTTTATAAGCAAATTCATAATTATGTTGGACATGAAAGTCGAAATCGATCGTGTCCTATGATCAATGACAATGCTAGTAAAGAGGAACAAACCACCTAATGGTAGCTGCATCGTTGCTATTGATATATTACCCGCGGGGAGCACAGCAACCAAGGTGCATATTATCATATAGGAACAAGCGAAGTGTAGCGATTCATATTACCAGAAAAGTTTTGCTAACCGGTCGGCAATAGAGTCACATAGAAAATCATATAGATAAGCCCTTACCTATCAGCGTGCGGATAGATAAGGTGAGCGAAGCGCGAAGATTAAGAAGAAAATTTAGTTTAAACTAGATATTATCGTTTTTACATGTAGTCTAAGATTAGAAGGAGAAAAGATGGATGATCCTGTATGTTTAAAGTATGACAGGTAGTCTGTGCACATAAACTCTGCCTATTGAAATAAAACCCTTCCTCTGTATACAAGATAAGTTATACTATGAATTGAAATGTCCTTAATTTCTAAGTTTCTAACTATAGTTAGTGATCTGGAGTAGGCTACGTGAAGACTAGTCAACAAAAAGAGGCCTAAAATTTGAGAAAAGACACGCATAATTAAACATATAGAACGTCGTAAAGCAAATTAGTATTGCAGCAAGGCTCATAAAATGTCTGGCATTTGTCCATGCTATATATGGTCATCGAACCAAACTATTAATGAAAAGCAGGCTCATTTTGAGAAAAGAAAACTAGAAACTACTCGCTCAATTACACACACACGTGCGCACACACGTGTATGTGTGTGTGTGTGTGTATATATAAGCTCATTTTGAGAAAAGAAAACTAGAAACTACTCGCTCAATTACGCACGCGTGCGCACACACGTGTGTGTGTATGGGGACGGTTCAGTGACACCACATTTTTTACTATGTTAGGCATCGAGAATATACTTTTTTACATTATGAGCTAAAGACTCTTCAATATATATTTTCACATTTTGGTCCACAGATCGAGTATGGAACTAAGTAATCTACTATTAGCAGAAAACAATCACATTTTGGTCCACAGATCGAGTTTAGAACGAGAGCGAAGCGCTTCGGCTTGCCCTAGTTGGGTACTGGCCGGCAGAGCTGTTCACACACTTGGCGGACAAGGCAACCATGGTGGAATGGGGCGGAGAGGTGGTTTACACGAGGGCCAACGGCGAGCACACGGCCATTCAAATGGCTTCGGGTCACTTTGCCGAAGACGGGTTTGGGAAGGCCAGCTATTTCAGAAACCTTGAGATAGTGGACTGGGAAAACAACCTCAACTCGGTCGCGGATGTGTCAACTTCGGCTGAATACACCAAGTGTTACGACATCAAGAGCTCCTACAACAATGAATGGGGCGCTCACTTCTACTCTGGTGGCCCTGGGAGAAATGCAGGATGCCCATGATCACATCATCATCATCATCATCATCATCATCAGTAGTATTGTTAGTCTATTACTCTCGTACAAAGTGACAGTTGTATTTAAATGTAGTATGTGTGAAATAAAAGGACCAGTGGTAAGAATTTTAGTCGAGTTTCCTTAACTATGCTCAATGTAAATTCAATAATCTATTCAATGAAAACTTTCCTCCTACATCATGCCTTTCTCTTCCTACAGTGTGTAAGGTCGGCTCAAAATTTTGCGCATAATCGGGATTGTCACTTTGTATGATTCTTTCAATATTGCGTAGATCAATTAGTAAGTATTCTTCTGGGTTCTTCCAGTTGTTTCTCATATCTGTGTTCAAGTTAGTTACTTCCTTTTTTGGCCTTCTCTCTTTGCTTTAGTGACTAATTAATATTGCATTGTCAGACAAAATTAAATTGATTCCAAAATCTCCATCTTGCCGTTTGATTTATAAACATCCGTCAAATTTTCTTGAACAATCACGTTGGATTCTAAGAAGCCTAATGGACAAATGGTAGGAACTGTTCTTATAAGGTCATATCAGTTCCAGTCAGCCAAAAAACATTGAATTTCTTCATCATCAAACAGCTACAAGAATATTACATTTAATTACATCTTAAAATTTTCAACATTCTCCAGTTTTCTTCCTATTTCTTGGATTCCAATTAGAGCAGGGCTTTGCAAAAAGTCAAATTTTTATTCCATTATTTAAATAATTTCTTGAATGTGAAAACCAACAAATGAACGATGAGCAAAACACGATTTTTTGTTTCGTTCATCAAAAAATATGTTTTCATCAACTTGTTTGTGTTTTTAGGGTTTTGTTGTACAATGGAGAGTAAGAGCAGCTATGAGGGCTCGAATAGTCATTTCATATTAGAGTTGCAAGTTGTTTAGTATTACATTTTTAAGTGGGGTGTTGATAAAATATCCCTATAATTATTCTTATGTATTTTTTCTTCTGTGATCATTGACGAATGTTTTTCTGCAACAGTTAGTTTATGTCACTTCCTAGCCATTTGGTTTAATTGGTTTAAGACATAAATCTTGAAATTTAAACTAATCTAATGATAAATATCAATAAGGGTGCACTCAATTCAAATTGTGATTCTACGCCGAAAAGACAATATATATATATATATATATATGTCTATGAAATTAATTCCCTAATTAGTTAACTCCACAGAGAGATAAATACAAAAGTTTTAGGACCCCTCGGACGGTGGACCATGGTCGTAATGTTTGGCAGCATTGTTCTTCCCAAATATCATATCGGAATTCAATTGCATCCATGATTTGCTGGTGATTTCCTTTGAAAAATTAGATTCGTACATTTGTGTTTAGACTTCGTTTGGATCTAAAATTCCTATGAACTCGTACTTAAGCTGTTTTAATTTGAATCAAGGTGAAATAAGAATAGAAAAACTCTGGTTTAGTATATCTCATAATTCTTGTAGGTTTAGGAATACCTGATCCTTTCGGTAGTTCTCTAACGAAAGGGTTTTGCCTATATATCCAAGAATGCCTCTCAATTTTTTTTTAAAATCCAAGTAACATTATTCAGTACTCCTCCCTTGAGTTCTTTGTTTCAGAAACTACTTAATTAAGAACTCGTGTTTTCTTGAGTTCCAAGGAACTGAAGAACGAGACGAAGATGGCTATGAGTCGTGAAGATCGGGAAAAGATTCACCAGGGTAGTTTTGAGTCATTTAACAGAATTTTGGAAGAGATTAAACAAGTGGCAAAAGACCGGAATGAAGAAATTGATTTGCTGACAAAGAGAGTTTTGTTGGATATTATTCAGTTTGAAAGCAAATCAAAGAAAGGAAAATTGACGAATCATGATGAAGAAAAAGTTGCTTCTACTTCTACTTCTGCTGAGGTTCATGATATTCAAAAAAGCAAAAATCATGGTTTCGGAAGCAACAAAGATCAAGCTGGATATGTAAAAGAGTTAATGAAGAAGAGGCAGAGAGAAACGACTGAAAGAGTGTGCATGAGATCATCTTTATCGATTCCTTCTTCGTCGCTTGACCTGCCTATAGAATTCAAGAACATGATTCACTCTTTGTGTGGTTCTCACGTGAAATTGGTAATACAGAAGAAAATTTTCGCTACTGATTTGAACACTCATCACGACCGTCTCTCAATCCCAGAGAATCAAGTGGTTGATAAGAGATTTCTTAGTAAACAACATGACCAAGAATTGAAGCTTCATGGATTACTGGTGGTGAAAGTAATTGATCATAATTTGAAGGTGCATGATAAATTAGGGTTCACCAAGTGGAAGTCCACAAGTAGCTTTTCGTATGTGTTAAACAGTGGTTGGAAGAAGATTATAGAGAGCCAGAAGAATAAGCTTTTTGTAAAGGATACAATTCAGGTGTGGTCTTTTCGAGTTAATATCGACAAGGAGAATCCTATCTATCGTGAACGTCTCTGCTTCGCAATTGTTAAGCTTAAAGGAGAGGGGAAAGAAGAGGATGATGGTAGTGCTGATGGCCAGGAATTTACTGAACCGTCGACGACCAGGAAGAGGCAGGAAGCTATTGAGTCAGAGTTTGGAGTCATGGAAGATGTCGGGAATCTCAAATTTAGGATCACAGTTGGCATCACCCGCAAAGATTAACGAGAGTACTGTTTCTGTATGTATAGATTGAAAAACTATTAGGGCTATATACTAATGTGTTTGTATTGTCCTTCGACCGGGAAACGCTGCAGGCGTCAAGAAAGCCCTGCTATTCCACCTGAATGTTATAGTTGTGGAGTGAGAGGTCTCCACCTGACTCGTGACTGCCCGGAGAAGTGCATCTTTGCCTAGGACGTCGGCGTCGTCAAGTCATCCACAGTGGTTCCTTACTTTCCCTGTGTTTTCTTGATCTGAGCAGCTTCAGCTTCAGCACTAGCTAGTACTTGTCTGTTCATATGTCATGTGAGTCTATCTTTGAATAAGCAACGTCGTTATTCATGGCTGGCGGATGGATAGATTACTTGTTTGTTGTTGTTTCTCCTCAACGTGTGATTAATTCTCTTTTTTTAGCAATTAATTAGTTAGCAACAGTATATATAGGGTAACATTGGCTTAATCTCCATGCTTAAGTTAAGAAAATTGAATTGATGAATAACAATCTTTTGCAATGCTCAAAACCGTGAAGGTATGGTGAACGAGGTTAACATTGACGTTGAGCCTTCAGAATCAGCCACACTGAATGATGCACCGTGTGAAATATGTCTGAAGGGTTCAAAATGCCTTCTTTTACTATGCAACAACATTCAGTATCGTCTTGATTTTGGGTATTCTTTTGGGTTGGGTGGAATTTGTATCGAAAACTTGCTCTAATCACGAACATTCATCAACTTATGGTATTGCATAGTAGTCGGAAATTAGTAAAGGCCAAACGATCATGACCTTGGTCCCTATAGTTTGGCCCAAGTTCAACTTTTGTCCTTCTAGCTTCTATCGTCGCCTTGTAGTTTGCTAATTGTTGCAATCTAAGAACAATAACTTAATTCGGGCGATATCTTGGACAAACCGGTACATGATCCCCAAAACGATGTAAAAGTAAACAACAATCAGCATTAACACAAAAGAAGAGATCTCAATACTCTTGAGTTAATTACATGATACAGTTGTTTTGTTAACAAAAATCTTCTTATGCCCTTCTTGAGATTGCAGATCGATCAACTTTTGCATATCCTGAGAGAGGTAAAGGCAGAACAGAGGGACAGAACACGAGGAAGCTCACTTCTCGTTTGGTGACTTTAGTTGTCTTCCGAGTAAGAGAAGTCCGATGGTAGTAAAAGCAGACAATATCGCTGAGGAATAGCAGATAGTAAGCAGAGCGCCCCTCAAAGACTGCATTCAAAGATTTTCATATGTTAGTATGCAGCACTATGTTATAAGTTATAACAAAAAACAACGGCTACAAGTATGGGCCGGATTATTTTTGAGCACCTTAGCCAGCATCAAAGCATTGTCATTTGCGTACTGCAATGAACTCTCCGGGATGTTTTGGATACCCTGTGCTAGCTCCCATGAAAGAATCCTGCATTTGAAATTTCAACGGAAAGTATAGGAAATCTCGATTATACATCATAGTTACAACACAAAGTAGGAAGGAGAAGTTAAAATTTGAAATAGGCAAGTATATTTACCCAAAAGCAAAGCTGATTACGGCCCCTATGGTGGCTTTATCTGATGTTAGCTCGAGCTGAAGTTCTCCAAACTGCAGTTGGCAACGACATTAATACACCATTGGCTATAGAATGAATGTCTTCCCTGTTACTTGCAACAAGTGCAGTGTCATTGTCTACCTTCAGCATCCTGCTTTCCGTCTTTGGTTCATCAGTGACTGTCGATGTTGAACTTTCAGACAGAAGCTTTCCGGTTGTAATCATTACTTTTGCAATCTATAAGGGTTGAATAGAATCCAAAAATACAGCGAGCTTAGAGACGAATGAAACCTAGTTATGAATTCTGAAGATAATACGCTAGACAATTGCTCCATCAAAATCTTAAGTACTTGGATTTCCACAAAGAAGAAAAGTGAAACTAATCTTTTCTGGCACAGCTAAATATACTATTTGAACATCCTATAAATATCGTCTAAAAGCTGGCAAGGAAAGTGGCATGTTGTAACTCTTAGCCTGTAGCTCTTTCCATAAAAAGTACCCTAAGTCAGATAAGTTATCTTCTAGTACTAATGCCTGCTATAACTAAACAGTCGTATGTTGGCAATGGGGTTAAATGCTAAGTGTCATATGTTGAATGTTGACATATCTCGTCCAACACAGTAATGCTCATGAGTTTGATTTGAAGCAAATAGTTCCAAATGCTATTAACAAACTTTATGAAACAATTTTGACATTTGGAGTAAAGAAGCATGAGAACAATAGTAACGAAAACTCAATAAAACCAGTCTAAGCAAACAAATAAACACAAACTACTAGATCTATCTTTCTATCTGTCTATCCATCTTTGTTCTTTTGAAAGATTATTTAGTCCGCCACAATATCTATCTCTTGTCCAAGTAATAAAACATACCTTTTGCAGTTCACCTTGGCCATACTGTCCCATGGACTGAAATCTTCTTCCGGCAGAAACCAAACGCTTTCCAAATGCTATAATAACAGATATAAGCTCTTGAATCAAACTCCTGAGAAGATATTTTAAGCATCAATTTCATATAACTCTGTTCTTGCCTGATTTGGCATTGCCTGTCATAGACTCCTCCAACCCAGGGAGCTTGCTAGCTAAAGCATGGGAAGTTGATGTATCGGCCTGTTCCCATGCACGAGAGAGATTTAACAATGTCTCTCCTAACTCTTGACCACACTGCAAAAAGAGTAAATTCAAAGACCGTAACTTAATTAGCCAGTAATTTTGATAGCTTACCTATAAAATTTGAATCGTTTGGTGGAATACATGAGAGGCATGACATGGATAATGTGTGATTCTTTCACATCCCGTTTCGTTATAATAAACATTTGAGTCATTGATGCATACACCATTCTTACCAAAAAGAGTTGAAACTTGGGTGAAATTTTGGAAACGGAACACTAGGGATGTTCATACTAAGAATGTAATCAAATTTCAAATCAGAATGCCGAAGCAGAGGCTTAAAAATAACTAACCTCGTCGATAACCCTTCCATTTGAAAGATCAAATGCTGCATCATTCAACTTCACACATACCAAAAACAAAATTTCAAAAATTGTCAGCTCAAATTCTAAAGCCACGTTCTATATCGAATTCAACAACTGGGTAATTCACACAGATTGAAAAAAAAGCCCACTTACATCGAGCCGGAGATCGTTAGGAAGCTGCGCAAAGTAGTCCGGTGGAAGGTCAAAGCTGTCCTGCACAGTAAAAAAAAAAAATTGAAAAAAAAAAAAATCACACTTTAATAAATTACATATAAATTAAGCAACGCCAATAATTAAAGGTTCAAAATTTGACGTAAAGGATCAAATTCGAAATGGGAAATGGATGCTTACGGCTAATTCTTGGAGGAAAGATTGAAAATTTGGACCGTTGGTTTGGAAAGATTTGGGGGAGTCTGATTCTGCGAGGGAGAATGAGGCGGTGAGGGATTTGACTGGGAGGGTTTTGAGGAAATTGGAGGGTTTTAAGGAGGAAGAAGAAGAATAAGAAGGGATATGGTGGGGATTACGGAGAAAGAGGAGGGTTGAAGAGGAAGAGACATTGGAGAGAGGTTGAAGGAAGGCAAGAGAAGAAGCCATTTTAGAGGAAGAGGTGTATCATGTAAGCTGCTCAGTTTTAGCCACTGAAAATTTGGCAGTTATTTGGAAGTTGGGTTTTTCTGCTTTTCCCCCTCTTTTGGCGGGGACATGGCCTGATGATGATTTCCATCGTTTATTTTAGACCACTAACGTGACAGTTGATGATTTATATTTTAATGATTAAAAAAATTATCTAACCATTAATCGTCACATTATGTAATTTATTAAAGAAAGATCTAGAAATTTGGTCTTTTTAGTATTACTTGCTAAAAAAATATCACTAAGTTCGAGTGTTATGATGAACATAATTTATGGCCAATATATATATATATATTTTTTTTTTGGTGCTATAATATCTTAACTCAATCACACATAAACTAGTACGTTAAAACACATCGTAATGTGCAATTGGACTAAAATACCACAATAAGGTTAAGCATTTGAATTGATAAATTGAACCAGATCGAGTTGTGTAGTATCAACTGATATATTGAATAATCGATCGAAACGAGTGAACCAAACTGGTTATTTTATTCAAATAACGACCTTAGCCCAAACTAGAGTTGGGCTCTAGAAAACTCAACCCAAGGCCCATACATAAATGGCCTATGTCTCCCCGAAAAAAACTTAAGCCCGGGCCCAAGAGCTGCTGTGAAACAAACGCGTAATGAGGGGCTGATAGCCTGGTTGAAAGAGCGAGCTGCTGGAGAGAGTGAGAAGATCTGAAAGTTGTTTGGTAAGAAGAGCTTCTAAAATACTTTTCAACTTTCAATCCTTTATTTGATGAATTTCTGTTTTTATTTTTATGTGGTTAGTTTGTTATAGATACCTTGACTTTCTCAATCCGACATTCTCGGCTCTTATTTTCTTCTTATAATGTTATATGATGATCGAAATCGTTTCCTTTTCTAATTCACTTTATAAACATTAAATTTGCAAAAAAATCAATCAAATAAGAAATTGTTTAACCATTCAATTAACTTGTCAAAATTTCAGTTTCAGTTGAATAACATAGTTTGTTTATTTATTGAATAATGGTTAAATTACTAAATGATTTCGAATTTGGTTGATTTTTTACATAGTTGATCCGTAAAGGGCGACCTAGAAAATATACAAGGTTGTTACCATTCATTATAGTCGTTTGGTCTAAATGCGCCGATCCGTATTCATTGTCATTGTCAATTGTCAAGTCTTCCAAGGAAACTTGTAAGTAATTTCATTCGAACACCATATAGTGCGATTAATTGGTGAAATCTCCCATTTGGACTTGGAAGAAAATGTGGTGCAGTTTCTGGATTGACCTGTCAAAATCCCAGGACAATTAGACGTCTCTCCCTATGAAATTGAAACAACCATGGTTCAGCACAATTAATTCAAATGATTGTGGCCCCTCCATTGTTCCGAAATTGGTTTTGAGTTGAATTCTTACATTTTATTATGGTAAACGAGCTATTTATGCGTTGGCCACATGCCTTCCCACATTCTCCGATATGTGTTGTTCATGTGTGATGCCACATGTGAGTTAGGGGAAAGGGAGTTGGGTTGGATTCGGTCTTCTATCCATTGTTAATTAATTTTGGGTTGGATTCTCATGTTCTAATAATCATTCTAACCAAAAACAAGATACGAGTGATTATTTACTAACTACTGGTTACTAAAACCTTATTGAAAAGCACTTACAATACTAATTTTCACGCTACTTTTACAAGGGGTGGTGTTATCCAAACATATCTCTCAATTTTCAGTCGTTGGATCAAATGAATTAAAGAAGATCTATAACAACCCGTCTCGGGATTTACGGAAGAAAAAGGGTATTTTTGTATTTTCACTAAGTTTGGGGGATACTTTCTTTTTTAAAATTGTTTTTGGGTCTTAAATGGTGTGCCCAAGGGGCCCACCTCTGTTTTGTGTCCCTGGTCTCTCTCCTCTCTGTTTTCCCCCGAGTCAACCTCTTTTCTCTCTCCCTCATCTTTTTCTCGGCTCTCTTTGCAACTCTCTTTTGTCCTAGAGGACCAACCCACACACACCCGTGCCCACACCCCATCAACGACGATAGCATCAGCATCATCACCACGTTAGCTCTTTCTCCCTCTTCGTCTCTGTGGAGCACAGAGAAACTCCGACGAGTTCCTCGTCCTTCTGTTTTCGGTAAGCCTCAAAACACTCCAAATGCTTCTTTTTTCATCCCTATAGTTCTGTTCTGACCCCGTGGTTGTGTTTTGGACGTCAAACCACGAAGAAACGCGTCAGGGAAACTTCCCCAGATTTCCCTCGAGAAACCGACGGCTTTCAAGGCAATTTTCGGCCAAACCAAGGAGAGTTGGCCAGCGTGCAAGGTATCAATCTCTTCGTCTCGCCGAGTACTACAACTTTCCTTTTTGTTTCACCCAATTTCATGGAATATTGAAGAAGTTATATCCATTTGAATCTTACCCAGTTTACGACGACCTCAGTGACTTTTGAGGTGTTTTTCAGCCAAACCACGACGAGTTAGATGTCGTGCGAGGTACCATTCTCTTCGTCTCTTCGAGAACGATTTCCATTTTTGAATCACTGAATTTCGTTGATTATTGACAAAGTTATGGATGTTCAAAGTTTGTCTAAATTCCGGCCGAATTCTGGCCTTCTTTTCCGGCATGAAACCTAGCCTAAGAAACCTCCCAGGCCTTCGGGCCATTCCTACCAAGCCCAAAACCTTGGGCAGCCCAACCCAGCCCTATTATTTTTTTGTTTGGTTAATTTAAAGGCCTTTGGGCCGTTTCCTTTAGGGCCTTCGACCCGTTAACCCTAAACCCATTTATTTAAACCCTAAAATCCATTAGACCCAAACCCTTTAGGCCTAACATGGATCCAACCCTAAGCCCAAGACCTTTTGACTTGTTTTGACTATTTAACCCGTTGACCGACCCGGTCTAACCATTGACTCGGTCAACGGTCATCGTTGACTTTGACTTTGACCGTCAACGATCAACGTTGACTTTTTGGGTTTTCGTTCGAGACCCTTCCTAGGCTAATTTCGACGTCCTGAACCCGTTTCCGATGTCCGTTTTCCAAAAATAAGTTGTTTGAGTAGGGTTTGACTAATTGTACCCTTTTTGTACTTAGGGGTAATTAATTGTGGCGTTTCCGTCTTCGCTAGTTGTGTGGCTCTTCAGCAGCTAAGTATTGTGAGTGGACCCCTTCTAAAAATGTATGTTTTGATAGTAGAAATGCATACATGAAAAGCATGATTTGATGTTTTATGAAACGTTTTATGAGATAACATGCTTACTGAGGCTAGTTTAAATTATTACTATTTTTCCTACAACTCGTGTTCTTATAGAATATCCGATGGATGACGATATGATATTTAAAACATGTTTAGAACACCTCTTTATAGTATAGATAATGGATGACTTTATACAATGAAGTTGCTTTTCAATATATGTATGTTCATTGGTTTTGTACTTACCTACTGGTCCTTTTCGCTACGGGACGTAGGGATAGATCCGGTCCGTCCCGAGCGGCGGTTTGGTGTTGGCATAGGGTCTTAAGTGTGTTTTATCTGGCTATTTAGCATAGGGAAGGGGAGCTGGCATGGGGCCTGGAGTGTCTTTTCCTCTGACTATCTGCTCAGAGACGGGGAGCCGACATGGGGCTTGGGGGTTATCGGACATTCACTAGTGATTATTATATATACAGTTATGACTTGAGACATTGCACGACATGCTAGGTTTCGGAAAACCTATGTTTCTCATGATATATATGTGTTTTCATAAAACCTGGGGGTTATTACGTTGATAACTGTTTTATTATATTTATATATATATATATATATATATATATATATATCAACTTGGTCCACTTATGTTTGTTTTGCGCCTCCTTCAGGACTTAGAATTGAGACATACAATCCCAACGTCCAGGCACTTCCACATCGGTATCTTTGAGTCCTCTCGGTGTAGGATCCATTCTTTTATTCATTCAATTTTATATTATTTCCTTTAGTGTTCTAGTTAGTTGTATGCTCTGAACACGTTCCTTAAATGCATAATCATTATTCTTTTATATTTATAAGCCATATCTATCCCTCGTTTTCAGCATTTGCACTCAATAAATGGCTTTCGTCACCCTCGAGTGTCGGCCAGCATGTGTCTATCCTGGTATTCAGGGAATATTGGGATCGGGGTGTGTCAAGATCAAGAAACAAAAATTAACAGAAGTATGTGGAAGGTATAAAAGAATGTGTGGACAGCACCACCCTTTTACAAATATGCAGGACAACTGATTAGTATGAGTCTAGTAAACTTGACAGTGTTGTTCTCGGTTTATCTGTCTCACTAATTTTGGAAGCAAATCGGTTTATTTCTATATGTCGTTTGGTCTAAATGCACCTATCAATCATCATTGTCATTGAATGGTCAAAGTCTTCCAAGGAAACTTGCAAGTAATTTACATCCAAACTCCATAGCTTGAGTAATGGTGAATTAGTGCGTAATATATATACTAGCCTTCATGCATGCACTGGATTTGTTTCTCCATGTCGTTTGGTCTAAATGCACCTATCAATCATCAATATCATTGAATGGTCAAAGTCTTCCAAGGAAACTTGCTAGTAATTTACATCCAAACTCCGTAGATTGATTAATGGTGAATTAGTGCATATTATATATACTAGCCTTCCTGCATGCACTAGATTTGTTTCTCTATGTCGTTTGGTCTTAAAATGCACCTATCAATCATCATCGTCATTGAATGGTCGAAGTCTTCCAAGGAAACTTGCAAGTATACATAGTTGATCTTTTACATAGTTTATCATTGTCATTGAATAATGGTTAAATTACTAAATGATTTTGAATTTGGTTGATCCTTTACATAGTTGATCCATAAAGGGTGACGTAGAAAATATACAATTCGGATCATTCGGCAACATTAAAAAATGAAAAGGAGATCCGAGAACAATCAAATGAGAAGGTTGTTACCATTCATTATAGTCGTTTGGTCTAAATGCATCTTTTACATGGTTGATCCATAAAGGGTGATGTAGAAAATATACAATTCGGATCATTCGGCAACATTAAAAAATGAAAAGGAGATCCGAGAACAATCAAATGAGAAGGTTGTTACCATTCATTATAGTCGTTTGGTCTAAATGCGCCTATCCGTATTCATTGTCATCGTCAATTGTCAAGTCTTCCAAGGAAACTTGTAAGTAATTTCATTCGAACACCATATAGTACGATTAATTGGTGAAATCTCCCATTTGGACTTGGAAGAAAAGGTGGTGCAGTTTCTGGATTGACCTGTCAAAATCCCAGGACAATTAGACGTCTCTCCCTATGAAATTGAAACAACCATGGTTTCATTACAATTAATTCAAATGATTGTGGTCTCCATTGTTCCGAAATTGGTTTTGAGTTGAATTCTTACATTGTATTATGGTAAACGAGCTATTTATGTGTTAGCCACATGCCTTCCCACATTCCCCGATATGTGTTGTTCATGTGTGACGCCACACGTGAGTTAGGGGAAAGGGGGTTGGGTTGGATTTGTTAATTTTGGGTTGGATTCTCATGTTCTAATAATCATTCTAACCAAAAACATGATACAAGTGATTATTTACTAACTACTAGTTACTAAAACCTTATTGAAAAGCACTTACAATACTAATTTTCATGCTACTTTTACAAAGGGTGGTGTTATCCAAACATCTCTCTCAATTTTCAGTCGTTGGATCAAATGAATTAAAGAAGATCAAGAAACAAAAATAACAGAAGTATGTGGAAGGTAAAAAAGAATGTGTGGACATCACCACCCTTTTACAAATATGCAGGACACAACTGATTAGTATGAGTCTAGTTAACTTGACAGTGTTGTTCTCGGTTTATCTGTCTCACTAATTTTGGAAGCAAATCGGTTTATTTCTCTATGTCGTTTGGTCTAAATGCACCTATCAATCATCATTGTCATTGAATGGTCAAAGTCTTCCAAGGAAACTTGCAAGTAATTTACATCCAAACTCCATAGCTTGAGTAATGGTGAATTAGTGCGTAATATATATACTAGCCTTCATGCATGCACTGGATTTGTTTGTCCATGTCATTTGGTCTAAATGCACCTATCAATCATCATTGTCATTGAATGGTCAAAGTCTTCCAAGGAAACTTGCAAGTAATTTACATCTAAACTCCGTAGATTGATTAATGGTGAATTAGTGCATATTATATATACTAGCCTTCTTGGATGCACTAGATTTGTTTCTCTATGTCGTTTGGTCTAAAAATGCACCTATCAATCATCATTGTCATTGAATGGTCGAAGTCTTCCAAGGAAACTTGCAAGTAATTTACATCCAAACTCCATAGCTTGAGTAATGGTGAATTAGTGCATAATACAGATACTAGCCTTCATGCACGCATTGGGCCTAACGATCATGTCGTTGCACGTGAGAGAAAAAAGAGGGGTGATGTGTTACGGGGCAAGGAGCGGGGTTGTTGGGAGCGTGAATCTCAAATCGGGATATTAAAGGGGTGTATCAGTTAGTATTTAGAAGGATTTTAAAGAGTTTAATAAAAATAATTTATTTGATAAACTTCTGTTAAAAATTGACTTAAAAATTACAAAATTCGGATAAATCGGTAACATTAAAAAATGAAAAGGAGAGTCGAGATCATTCAAATGAAAAGGCGGACACCATTCATTATAATCGTTGGGTCTAAATGCGCCAATCAGTATTCATTGTCAATGGTCAAGTCTTCCAAGGAAACTTGTAAGTAATTTCATTCGAACTTCGTAGGGTGATTAATTGGTGAAGTCTCCCATTTGGACATGGCAGAAATTGTGGTGCAGTTTTTGGATTGACCTGCCAAAATCCCAGGACCATTAGGCGTGTTGTCTCTCACTATGAGAAACCACATGTGTTCAACACAATTAATTTAAATGATTGTGGCCCCCTCCATTGTTCCAAAATTGGTTTTGAGTTGACTGCCTACATTGTATTATGGTAAACGAGTATTCATGGGTTGGCCACATACGTTTTCACGTTCTTCGATATGTATTGTTCATGTGTTGCCACACGTTTGTTTGAGAGGGGGGGAACTTCACACAACATTTGAAATGATCCGGGTTTTCCATCTGTTTTCAATTAGTTTTGGATTGGATTCACATGTTCTAATAATCATTCTAACGAAAAACATGATACACGTGATTATTTACTAACTTAATTGAAAAGCACTTACAATACTCATTTTCGTGCTACTTTTACAAATATGCATGGCACTACTGATTAGTGTGACAAGTTAACTTGACATTGTTGTGCTTGGTTGATCTGTCTGAGTACTTGTGGAAGCAAATGGATTTGGTGGCATCATCAAGTTTTCAAGGCCTCCTTCGAGCATTCTAACAACCGCTTTCATGGAAGGGCGATTCACCGGGTACCACTGGATGCACCAAAGTGCCACAATCACTAGTTTCTTAGCAATCTGAGCATCATCATCGGTATCTAGCTTCAAATCCAAAGCTTCTCCTTGAACTAGACGGTTGTAAACCAATTCAGGAAAGTAGACCTCATTGTTGCCAGATGTAAGAGCAGGTTGTTTTTTGGCTCCAACAATTTCAAACACTAGCATCCCAAAACTATAGACATCTGATTTGTAGGACACCCTCCCGAAGTTCCCATTAAACACTTCTGGTGCAATGTACCCTACTGTGCCTCTGGCAGCCGTCATGGATGTGATACTGTCTCCCTTGGAACAGAGTTTAGCCAGACCAAAATCCGAGACCTTGGGATTGAAGTCATGGTCTAACAGTATGTTACGCGGCTTTATGTCAAAGTGGAGGATCCTCTGGGCACACCCTTGGTGAAGATACTCGATTCCCTTTGCTATACCAGTGACGATGTTGTGAATTTTCTCCCAATCTAGTGGGTTCTTGTTGGGTTCCGTAGTAGAGATAAACTTCTCTAGAGACCCGTTCGGCATGAGCTCATAAATGACAGCACGCTTGCCTCCTCCTGCAGAAAACCCAAGCAGACGAACCACGTTAACATGGTGAATCCTGCCAATTGTTCCCACTTCATTAATAAAATCTTCCCCCCTTCCTTTAGAATCATTGAGGACTTTTATGGCAACCGGAACTCCATTTGGAAGCTCTCCACTGTAAACACTTCCAAAACTTCCTTCGCCTAACTTCTTCTTGAATCCGTTTGTCATCCTCTTTATATCACCATGTGTGTATCTTGTTGGTACATGAGATTTGTGATCTTTTAGGAACCTCTCAATCTCGATTTCATTCTCCTTTTCCTCTATCCCTTTTGATTTTTTTACATGGTAGAGGATGGCTGCTGCCGTCAACGATAGGAGAACAAAACAAGCTATGCTTACTCCTATGATAATAGATCCAGTTGATACACCTAAAGTTGAAGTAGGAGAAAACAAATTTAGTTAAAAGTACATAGTTATTTTGCTTTTCTAGTTTTTCAAAGAGCAACACTTGGACAATTAGCTTGGACTATTACCCGGGTCCAAGTTCAGGACTGCTTCAACGCTGTCAGAAGTATAACACTGCATTTGATTTGTGTCGGTATTGATATCGCAGTCTTCACTGCAGTTTTGACATGCTGGGATAGGGATAGACAATGAGGTAAATCGCAGATAATATGAATCCTTCCATTGCAGGAATAAAACCTTGCCCAATTCACAGTTTTGCATAGAACCGTCCACATTTCGTATTGGAAGATCAAGCTGTCTCAGAAGAGTGCAAGTAGACACCGGCAGTTTATCTACAGTAGTAGTCTGTAGAGCAGCTAGAACTTGATGATTCCCCGGGACGCTTAGACATTTAATCGGCATGAAGTACGGACGGGAGCTCTCTGTGCTAGAACTTTGTGCTGTGCTACAATTTAAAAGTGTTACGCTCAATAAATCTGGATAATATTCGAGATCAAAACCGCAACTGTCGTAAAACACAAAATTGCGTACTGGTTGAAAGAGTGAGTATATGGAGATGGTAAAATTAAGAAGGTGTTTCGGGAGGCAACCATCCGCATCGTAGACCTGAAACTGATTTTTTTGGTAATCAATAGATTGTATAGGAAAGGGTGCCGAAGACGGCGAGAGCTTGATCATGGTCATATTTTGTGAGCAGAAAACTTCAAACTCTGGATGGCCACAGTAAGGAGGATGGTGTTTTAGACGGAATGGAAACCGGATAACTGGACCATCAGGCCTACACCTTGTAACCGGGCAGTCATGAGGATCAGCTGCTCTGCTGGGTACAATCATGGCCATTGGGAAGACAATTATAAGCAAGAAAAATAGTGGCAGAAGCAGAGTATCCATCTCCAGTCACCAACTCTCCGATCTTTATTTCATCAATATTCGATGAAATATATTTCGGAGACTGCATCCATGTCTGCTCGGATTACTGTTTTGCCTAATCACTTGACTTGGTGGGTCAACACATCACCATCATCAATGACTTTTGGCTCCAATTGTCATCATCCTGGTGTTACTTTCTTGGCAGGTGGATTGGTGGAAGCATCTTAGTTTCTTCGTAACCTGATGAGCATGCATTTATGGACTGGTAGTTGAGATCCCAGAAGACTTTGCAGAAACAATCCACCCGTTGTAATGGTTAACTTTCTTTCATCATCTTTCTCCTTGATTTTCCTATGATCTCAAGCACTTGCTTCGCAACAATGCTCGTTAAAAGTATCTGGTTAACATGTGCTGTAGCTTTTGCCATTTGCTTTGCAATTTGTGATGCTGAGGGACAAAAACACTGTCCGCCCGTTTCTTGCGGGGATCTCCACAACATTAGATACCCTTTTCGGTTGAATGGTTCTTCGTCTGATCAGAATTGTCTCAACCATCCAGCGGTATTATCATGCCAACATAACAACACCATTCTAAATCTGTTCAATGGCACATATTATGTGAGGAGAATCAACTATGAAGATCATACAATTCATGTTGTGGATCCTGGTCTGCTAAGCGATACTTGCCCCCCTCTGCCACTCCACCCTTTAACAAAGCGTAATTTCAGTGCAAAAGATCGATACCAGGCATATGGTTATGGGGCCAACGATTACTTGGTTTTCTTTGATTGCCAGTTCCCATTTAATGAGTCCCTGGACTGCGTAAAAAATATTTGCAATACCTATTCTGCGACTTCATATTCTTATATTGCAAATGGAGCTTTTCAAAATGGAGCTTTTGATAATAGAATGCAGATTTTATCTTGTTATACGGCCACAACCATTCAACCGATACCAATCCTTGCCTTGTTAGAAGAAATCGGGAACTTTACTTCATCTTCCATCCACGATGAGTTGCAAAGGGGATTTAAGCTTTCATGGGAAAGATTTATCTGCGGCAGCCGATACCAATCCTTCCATTGTGAGTATGTTGTTTATCAATTTAATTAACGCACTAATTCGGTGTGTTTTCACAAATCATGGCAAGGCAAATGATACGTAGTCTCAGTGGAGCTTTCAGAGAAATGTCATTCATTTATACATTAGGAATATTATCAGTTTTATGCATGTGTGATGTGTTTAGTAAACTTTACGATTTTAGAATGCCGAATTTTTCGTGACATCTCTTATTGACACTGATGTATCTTTGCAGGTTTCCTTAAATCTTTGAAACGTGGTAAGCTATATCAAATGGTATTTAGATTACTTGTAATTCGCATTAGTGTGATATTGAGCTTATGCTGTAACGCTATATGTCACGTCACTAGAATTTCCGAGTTAATCCTTCCCTTTTCTTGATCCTAAATCATTTCTCCATTGATTCTGTTTCACACAGGTTTCATAGCAGCTGCCAAGATCGCTGGTAATTCATTTTAAAGAATATATGTGTGCACGCATGTGAGCGCATAATTTTTTCAAAGGTAAAATTGTTATGGCAGGATGAACACCTACTAACTGCCTATTCTAATGGCAGGATAGAATCTGATAGCACGATTGGTACTTGGCATTATTGTTTTGTTGGGTTTCTGCAGCCGCAAACTGTATTGGAGAAAGTTCCTAAAGGAAGACGATGATGCAGTTGAAGAATTCTTGGATGCGTACAAGAATCTTATGCCGAGGAGGTATTCCTATTCAGATATTAAAAAGATGACACGTAATCTCAAAGATAAACTCGGTCAAGGAGGCTTTGGTTCTGTTTTCAAAGGGTTGCTGCCAGACGGTCATCTTGTTGCAGTAAAGATGTTGAGTGGTACCAAAGGCAAGGGGCAAGATTTCATCAGTGAAGTTGCCACAATAGGAAGAATTCATCATGTCAATGTGGTGCAACTAATTGGATTTTGTTCGGAGGGATCGAAAAGAGCTCTTGTTTATGACTTCATGCCTAATGGATCTCTTGACAAATATATCTTTTCTGAGAAAGAAAAGAATGTAATTCTTAGCTGGGATGTAATGCATGAGATAGCTCTTGGTGTGGCTCGTGCAATCGAATATCTACACCAGGGATGCGATATGCAAATTTTGCACTTTGACATCAAACCTCACAACATTCTTCTTGATGAAAACTTTGCTGCTAAAATTTCCGACTTTGGTCTTGCGAGATTTTACCCTAGAGATAACAACACCGTTTCTCTTACTGCTGTGAGAGGCACATTTGGGTATATGGCTCCAGAACTGTTCTACAGATCTATCGGAGGAGTTTCAAAGAAAGCTGATGTGTATAGCTTCGGAATGTTGCTATTGGAAATGGCAGGACGGAGGAAGAACTTTAATGAACACGCACAAAACTCAAGCCAGAAATACTTCCCTTCATGGATTTACGAGCAACTAGAGAAAGGATTGAGCATTGAAATTGAGAATGCCTGCGAGTCTGATAAGAAAGTAACCAAGAGGATGCTTATGGTTGCATTGTGGTGCATTCAACTGAAGCCAGCGGATCGCCCTTGTATGAGCAAAGTTGTAGAGATGCTTGAAGGTGAAGTCGAAGCCTTGCAGATGCCGCCGAAACCTTTTTTCTGTCCCCAGCAAATGCCAATGGAGGATCCATCTGATGAGACGGATGTCGAAGAGGAATCTTCCCTGTTACATGATAGTGCTACCGGAACCACGGCCTCTATTCCAGAAATAATCATCCTTGGAAGAACAAGAAATTACTCATAAACGGATACTGATCCGTGCCAATTGTATCATCATCTTATGTTTCTGCCACAAAAATTTGGTAGTTTTGGAAGCTTTCTTTTTTCCAACGGCCTTTAGTAGAGTGAAGAAAAAAACATGAAAGTTGAAACCGATGCATTTGGTACTAAGAGCTTCCAAATACTTTTTTAACTTTTAATCATTTATTTGATAGAATTATTGTTTCTCTATGTAGTTTGGGTCTAATTCCACCTATCAATCATCATTGTCAGTGAATGGTCAAAGAAATAACCCCTCACGTGTGAAATTATAGAAGATCCCCTTTAAGATCAAACAATTCCATCGAATTGAGTATGATTGTATGTGTGATAACTTGACTCTGTGTTTCTTCGTTCATCTGTCTGAGTACTTGTGGAAGCAAATGGATTTGGTGGTATGCTCAAGCTTTCAAGGCCTCCTTCTAGCATTTGAACAACTGCTTTCATGAAAGGCAATTCGCTGGGTACCACTGGATGCACCATAGTGCCACAGGCACCAGTTTCTTAGCAATCTGAGTGTCCTCATTCGTATCTAGCTTCAAATCCAACGCTTCTCCTTGAACTAGACAATTGTAAACCCATTCAAAGTAGACCTCACTGGTTCCAGATGTAAGAGCAGGGTGTTTTCTGGATCCAACAATTTCAAGCACTAGCATACCGAAACCGTACCCATCTGACTTGTGGGACACGCTCCCGAAGTTCCCACTGAACACTTCTGGTGCAATGTAGCCCACGGTGCCTCTGGCAGCTGTCATAGATATGATACTGTCTTCCTTGGAACAGAGTTTAGCAAGACCAAAACCCGAGATCTTAGGATTGAAATCATGGTCTAACAGTATGTTATGAGGTTTGATATCAAAGTGGAGGATCATGTGGGCGCACCCTTGGTAAAGATACTCGATTCCCTTCGCTGTACCATTGACGATGTTGTGAACTTTCTGCAAATCAAACGAAGTGTTGTTGGATTGATCTTTAAATGTGATGAAGTTCTCTAGGGACCCGTTTTGCATGAGCTTGTAAATAAGCGCACGCTTGCCTCCTTCAGCAGAAAACCCAAGTAGGCGAACCACATTGACATGGTGAATTCTGCCAATGGTTCCCACTTCATTAACAAAATCTTCTCTGTTTCCTTTCGAATCACTGAGGACTTTTACGGCTACTGGAACTCCATTAGTTGGAAGCTCTCCGCTGTAAACACTTCCAAAACTTCCTTCACCTAACTTCTTCTTGAATCCATTTGTCCTCTTTTTAATATTGGCGTAGGAGTTTCTTGTTGGTACGTGAGATTTGTGATCCCTTAGGAACCTTTCAACCTTCAGTTGATTCTCCTTTTCCCGTTTTCTATTTGATTGTTTTACATGGAAGAAAACTGCTACTGCTGCCATCGCCGATATTAGAACAAAAGAAGCTAAGCTCGCTCCCATGATAATCGACCTCCGAGTTGATAGAAAACCTGAAAGTACAAGAGTTAAACAAATTGAGATGGTTAGGAATATATGGAATTTTAAGAATTGGCCTTGGCTGGCAGCAGGTACAGTACTAGTATAACCTTTTGGTTTTGGGGATGGTGGCGCTTGTGGGGGATCTCGAACGATAGGGTAAGGATAACACTCCATCCGGTTGCTGGTGTCATTGAATTCACACGATTCTGTTCCTTCTGTACAGTTTTGACATTGCGGGAAATAACTATTTAATTTCCATTTCAGCAGTCAAACATTGTCCGGCTCACAGTGATACCCAGTACTATTGCCATCATCCACTCTTCGTAGCGGAAGGTCTAGTTGTTTCAAGGTACTGCAAGTTCTGAACGGCACCTCAGTGACAGAAGCTGTTGGCCGAACAGCCAGAACTTGATGATGTCCGCCACTAAGACATGTGATTGGTATGTAGAAGCTCTCCGTGTTCAAATTTTGTGTCGTGGAACAATTCAAGAGCGTAAAGTTCATCAACTGGGGATATTGCATGCCAAATGGATGAGGATAATATGCGTAAGGAAGATCACTAGGACGATTGTTATAGGCGGCATAGTTGAAACGGTAGATGTCCATCTCGAAATCGAAATCTACTGGAGGAGGGGGGGTACCCGTGCATAGGTTCCTGAGAAGGTATTGGTTCAAAGAGCGAGGTGGTGGAGATTATAAAATTAAGAAGGCGTCTTGGAAAGCAACCCTCTTCATCATCGTAGACGCTGAAAGTTCGGCTGCGGTAATCGACACTTTGGATAGGAAACAGTCCTGATGATGAGGAGAGCTGAATCACTGTCTTGCTTTTTAAGCAAGAAACCTCAAACTCTGGATGGCCACAGTGAAGGGGTGGGTCTTTGAGACGGAAGGGAAACTTGATGAGGGGGCTGGCGTCGCTACAGTTTGAAACCGGGCAGTCAGCAGCACGATCATAAGCTGCTGCTTCGCTTGGACCGACGTTAATCGCCATGGAGAAGACGATTGCTAGCAAGGAAAACGCAGGTAGAAGGAGCAGGCTATCCACCATCATTACTCTTTAGGCAGACCAGTGCAAGAACTGTTATTTTGAAAGTTTTGCCTTTAGTGTAAGTTTTCTTGTATATTTACATGGATCAATTTCTTCAGTGTTGAAATTTCCTTATCATTTAGACTAGTCGTTGGTCAATTATGTATATTTTAATGGGGACGCTTGTCATTTCATCATCCATCTCTCCTCTTTTTATCTTGTAATATCGTACGATAATTGAAATTTTTTTTTTTTCTAGTTCACCATTTAACTTTGCAAAAAACAGCCAAATAAAAAATTGTTGGTTTTTGAATCTATGATTAATGTTGTCGAAATTTCAGGATGAATCACAATGTTCATCTATTTATTAAATAACCATTAAATGAGTAAATGATTCCGAATCTATTAATTTTTGGCAAAGTTGTTTTTTAAAGGGTGATCTAGAAAATAGATGATTTGGGTTTATCACGTTACATTGCAAGAAAGTAAGTATAGCCGAGAAGGTAGCACGAAAAGGTTCTGCTAGCATTACTGTATTCTTAATTGTCATCTTTCTAATTCAACTTTCCTGGCAAGTGCAAGCGACTAAGTTTCTTCCTTGACCAAATTTCCATGTGTAATACGCAGAATTCAGCCGGAAATTTCCATGTATTCTTAATCGTTATGGCTTCTGTTATTATCCCAGAAGATGGAAGTGGCCTTTCAGTTTCTTTCATCCGTGATCTAGCTTTCGTGGGATGAAATGCTCCCCTACAGCTGCGACACCCGATACCAATCCCTCTACTGTGAGTATGGTTGCATCAGTTTGGCGAACAGTCACTAATTCAAGTTAATTTTATATGAATATGAAGATTTTATCTCCAATATCTCTTACTGAGACTCGTTAACTTTTGCAGGTTTCGGTGAAAACATGAAGGAGGGTAAGTTTTGACTAACACCACATTTTCTGCTAGCTAATTTTATAAGATTGCTGTTAAAATTGCTTAGTGTAATCCTTTCCCTTCGTTCTGTTTTCGCACAGGTCTCATAGAAGCCGCCAAGATCATCGGTAAGTCTTTTTCCTTGAATGTTTATGTTGTTCAAATAGCTGAAATTAAAATCAAAAGAATATAGAGATAGAAAAGGAACAAGTATCCATTTTTAGGCACTTGCTACTATTAAAAATGAAATTAAAGTTCCTTCGGAACTAGTATTGTGCGGTGGATTTTGAAAGCTGAAGTTCCAATTACAGGATGAACTTCTAATACCCCCCTGTATTCTTATGGCAGGATGGTTTCTGATGGCGCGAATGATACTCGGCGTTGTTGTTTTGTTGGGTTTCTGTTGCTACAAACTGTACTGGAAAAAGTTCCCCAAGCATGAAGAAGCTGAAGAATACTTCCTTGCTTGCAAGAATCCAATAACAAGGTGCTACTCGGATATTAAGGAAATGACGATTGAGTTAACAATTAAAGTCAGACAGGAAGGCCTCCTGAATGATGCAGTTCAAGAATTCCTGGATGCATGCAAGAACGTTAGGATAATAAAGTACTTTTACGCAGAAGCCAAGATGATTGTAGTTTATTTAAAACAACTGAGTCAAGGAGTGTATTCGAAAAAATTCCGAAAGGATGAGGCAGTTGAAGAATTCTTGGATGCATACAAGAATCTTATGCCGAGAAGGTATTCGTATTCAGATATTAAGAAGATTACAATCGACCTAAAACATAAACTCGGTCAGGGGGGCTTTGGTTCCGTCTTCAAAGGAGAGCTTTCGGGTGGTCATCTTGTTGCAGTCAAGGTGTTGAGTGGCTCCAAAGGTGAAGGGCAAGATTTCATCAGTGAAGTAGCCACAATCGGAAGAATTCATCATGTCAATGTGGTGCAACTAATTGGATTTTGTTCTGAGGGATCCAAAAGAGCTCTTGTTTACGACTTCATGCCTAATGGATCCCTCGAAAAACATATATTTTCGGAGAAGGAAACAGGCGTTGTTCTTGATTGGGATAGAATGCATGAGATAGCTCTTGGGGTGGCTCATGGGATCGAATATCTGCACCAGGGATGTGATATGCAAATCCTGCACTTCGACATCAAGCCTCACAACATTCTTCTCGACGGAAACTACACTGCTAAAATTTCCGACTTTGGTCTTGCGAGACTTTACCCTAGAGATCATAACACTCTTTCTCTTGCTGCTCCAAGAGGCACCATGGGATACATAGCTCCAGAAATGTTCTACAGAATCCTCGGAAGCGTTTCGTACAAAGCTGATGTTTATAGCTTCGGAATGCTGCTAATGGAAATGGCCGGTCGGAGGAAGAACTTGAATGCACATGCACAAAATTCAAGCCAAATATACTTCCCTTCCTGGATTTATGATCAGGTAGAAAAGGGATTGAGTGTTGAAATTGTGGATGCCTGTGAGAACGATAAGAAAGTAGCCAAGAAGATGTTCATGGTTGCGTTGTGGTGCATACAATTGAAGCCGGCGGATCGCCCTTCCATGAGCAAAGTCGTAGAGATGCTTGAAGGTGAAGTCGAAGCCCTACAGATGCCTCCGAGACCTTTCTTCTGTCCCCAACAGTTGCCGACGGAGGATCCGCCTGGTGGCACGGACAGTGAAGAGGAAACGATCTCCATGGTATAAGGCAAATGCAATGCCGAATTCCACGACTTCCGTGTTGTATCACCGAAGTCGAGGATTCTTAGTCTTTTATAAGAAACATTTTAATTGTGTTCATGAGCTATTAACTCAAATAAATGAATGATGATAATGGAGTAGGATGAATACATTCAGCACATACAACTACAACTCAACTCGATAAGAAACCGCAATCTCTAGCACGATTTTTCAAAATAATAAAACGTAAGCGAACCCATAAACCAGAGACGCCAGTTCGGAAAACCCTCGACATAGAGGTGCATGAGGGCTACCATAACTTCTGACTTCAATCTATAAGAAACTGTAAGGTTACAGACTCTCTTTGGAAAAAGGAGAAGAAAGAAGGAACATTAATTCCGAATTCATCTTTTCATCCTCCGACCTTAGCGACCTTTCTTTGCTCGATTTGCCCTGTCCTGGGGCACTGCATCTCTGTCCAGCTTATTGGGACCATTGTTTCACCTACAATGAACAAATAGAAAATCACATCTGTGTTCACATCATGCAGATATGATAGGGTTACTAGTGACACGATGCACATATTAGATGAGGATAAGACGTTAAGTGTAAATGTGTCATGGTACGCTTGGTTTTTGTCAAAATTTTAAAGCACTGGCCGAAATTCAATAAACACCACCAGAAAATTCATGTACCTGATGCTGCACTCTGTGCCGAAATAACACCCAATTCATTCTTTGCAGTTGACAGATAATAAGCCCTAGCGTCTCCAAGGGACAGCTTAATGAAAGAATCAAGGAAAGTAGGAAACTGTTTCTGTAATTAATCACTGCAATACGAATGTTAAGCACAATTGACATGGTATTAAATGTATCATTGAAGTTCACCCATGAAAAAAAAAAGATCTGCAATGGAAAGCCGCCATCTCTGCTAACACCTAACCGGTCAAGGGGTAAATGTTGAAAATTAATTAGAATATCTACGAAATGCCAATCTTTTCTGCATTACAATCTTTTTGACCTGATATTAACAGGGGCATTCCACACAAAGGATACAACATGAGCTCTGACAATGTCACCCGGGCGAAAAGACGAAAGCATATCCACCTTATCAATTTCGGTGGCTCTTACATCTTGAAGCCTGTTAATAGAAATAGCTTATAAACAAAATAACATTTTGAAAACAAAACAGAACAATAAAAAACTTCACTGGACAAACTGCAATCCAAATATGCACTAGATAAATGCAACGCCTATGTAGTCATTCTTCATAAGGAGTACTGCATACCTAATTATGCCACTAAATTTTTCCCGCACGGACTTCGTGCCAAGACACAAAATATCAGCAGAAGCCATCCTTTCCATCACTTTGGTAACCTGCCATAATACCATGGGGCAAGATTTACATAAACGAATCAGTCAACAATCTGCCTCATAATTAAAGAAAGGGAGCTATGTTATGCAATAATCTTGTTGATGACCCCTTACTCTAGCAATGACAACTGATCCAGGCTCTGGAATGGCACCATGGGCCTTGTGACCAGTTACTTCCACAGTGGGTCTCTACAAAACCACAACAATCAATCGATATCATCAACGGAAATTCAAAGATCCCCGTGTCATAAAAGTTCAAAAAATTAATACTAAGTTAAACAAACAATATAAAAAGGAGATGGGAATTGAAAAGTTCCAAACTTTTCTCCTTAATTTGGGCAAAATATTCATCATTTAGGGCATGTTCCGGCTTGCTTCACGAAGAGCCAAAAGTGTCTACTACCAACCATCCGAAGTGCTTCCTAAAAAGCACTTGGATTTTAACAAAACTCACACCGTGCATGAAAGCACTTCTAGCATAAACGCTTAAGAGCAAAAGTACTTCCTCAAACCCAAAGGACTTTAAAGATTCAACGCTTATGACCACTTCAAAGATTCAAAATTTAGGGCATGTTCATGATTGCTTTTAGAAGGACTAATAGTGTTTTCTAACAACCAAAATCACTTCTAGCGTGTTTCTAATAAAAAGTACTTCTATCACTTCTAGCATAAATTCTTAGACCACTTCTAATAAAAGGGCATAATGAAAGCACTTCTAGCATAAGCGCCAACGCGCAAAAGTACTTCCAACAAAAGCAATCCCAAATGACAGCTCTAAAACGGCAAATTTATAACCAATATTAGGATTTTCCATCACTGAATCTCAATTTTCTGTCAATGCTGAGCACCCAATAGTAAAAATTTCAGATTTAAAGGGCAGAATACACCAAAAATTCAAACTTCATATTAAACTAATTTTCCCAGAAAAAAAATTCTCAAACCTTCTCAGCAGCCAAATAGAAAGAAGCTAATAGAAACCTGGTCGGGCGAGCCGGGAGGGGGTGATAGGATGCGGCGGGATCCGGTGAGGGAAGCGTAGACAGTGAGCTTGTCGGGGGACACGTAGGCACCTCTGCCTGCTTTGAACTTGGAGGCTTTACCGAGAACTTCCCCTGGGGTTACCCACTCACTATTTTCTCCCATTCTCAACTGTCGGGGCTGATTAGATTGAAGAAGAAGCACAAGAGCAGCGGTGCCGGCGCGGCGGCTCAGCCTTCACAAAGAGAGCTCTGCTTTTTACTTTCTTAGCGGCCGGGCGCGTCCTTCTCTTTTTCTAGTTTTTATTTTCTCTTTCTTTATTTTATTTTGCTAAATTTTATTTTTGTTTTAATTACAAGTGATAATTCTGTTCGACATTTAGTATTACGATTTAGTAATATTATTATTTACTCGTAAGTAAAAAGTATTATATTTTATTCGTGTCGAAATTAAATTTAAACCACATTATTGCTAACTCATTGAAAGTTAAACTCACTCTCTCCCCTTAGTATAAATACTATCATTTGTTCAAAGAAAAAAAAAGCAAACCTAACTCTAAAAGGTCTTCGGCACTGCAGTCCATCTTTTTGGGGCAAAAAAACTCACAGTAGTTTAGATGTGGTTAAAATGAGTGTGATTACTATATGCAATAATCATGCACTGTAAATTTAATTTGTATTACTATTGTGAATTGTCTTAATAATATGAGTTCGATACAAATGATTAGTGTATAAATATCACACTTATATAGTAGACATAGTACCTAATATTTATATCATTTTATAGAAAATATCTGTAAATTTGATCCTACATTGATCATGTTCACCCTATCCACCTTATGTCATTCAAACTCTCCAAACCCTAATTTAAACCATTTTTTCCAGCTAACCAATGTACTTTTTTAAGAATTTTATAGAGTGGGATAAATGACAAAAATTGATTTTTATAGAAATTCGCAATAGTTATAAAAAAAAATCGTGAATTACAGCTCATATTTTTTTAAAGGGAAAGATACGAACCTTGGCTCTTTGCAAGATTTTTTTTTCTTTTGCAGTAAATAAATGGTTCTTTACCGTAGTGGCGGAAAACAATTATATACCTATATACCTTGTTGCAAGTTCGATCCTCATCGATTTCTTTCCTCTTAACAACTAAACGTCGAACCCACTATGCTATTGCTCTACTAAAAAAAACTATTTTTTAAATAAAATTCTAATATGGAAAATTGAAAAATTAATAAAAAGAGTAATGTTAGGTAGACCAACTTTTTTGCATATATTTGCAAATCATATGACGTATTACTTGTGGAGCCAAAAATAATCAAGAGGTGACACGTTGATTTTTAGGCGAAGAGGACAAAATTACCCTCGAGACACACCGGGTTTCCTACACACGAGCAGTAGAGAATCATTCATCAACCGAGTCAAGAGTGCCCAAAATAGGTAACAAGTTCAAATTTATCTCATCCATCTTTACTCCATATCCTCTACAAGGAAATAATTTCATAACCTTCCATATAAATTAAATTACTTAGGTTAATTAATGGATTAAGTCCTAATTAATCCATTAATCACCATTACACCCCAAAAAACATCCAAGGGTCGGCCATGCTCTATAAATAGGACTCTATTTTCTTTGAAAGACAAGTCCACACTCTTGTAAAACTCCAAAAACTCTCCAAACATTTTTTCTCTCTAAATTCTAACTTTGGCATTGAAGGTTCTTCGGACAAAACCCCCCCATTCATCGTGGGCGCGTGAGGCTCTTGGCCTTAACCTAAGGTTTTAATTGTTTTGTAGGTGCAATTTTGTCCAAGATCAAGAAGGCGGAAATTTGCATCCACATTACTCATAAAAAATAAGCACATTAATCAACATTCAGGTAGTAATTCAATCATCAACAATCATGTTATATGCTTTACAATGTATAATTTAAATATTGGGTTTCCGGCACAACTCATATGATATTTTCGGCAGGCATAACGCCCTTTGAATGTCCTCCATGAATTTCAAGGTTATGGTGCGATAAGAACAACACGAAGTTAGGTTTCATGCATGAACGGTTTTCGGAAAATGACACAAACATTAAATATGATATGAAATGTCTTTTGGTTTTGTAAGCCTGGGGCCTTGAATGGCATGTTTCAGAGGATGACCGACGAATATATAGCTATTTTCTTTGGTTCGAGGCATCGAGAGCATGCAGAAGAACTGCGAAGGAAAACAATACATAAAAAGATACCATACGCATGATATGATCAAATATTCTAAGCACATTCACACTTGAGAAATGAAAAAGAAGCAAAGAGGACAAATATACGATGCTCTCCCTATCCACAACCAAGACCCGACTCAAAGAAATTCTTACTTAGGCACTAATGTGACACGTAGCTAAGACATATATACAAAGCGGAACTCTCTGTGTTAGGAATTTTAAATGAATCATATTGGTAAATACGAATTTAATGATGATTTTTTTACGGTGTATGTCCCAAACTGATGTACAACGTGGTGCGGAAGGCACTGTCCAAAAATGTTCTCTTATCTAACTCAACATTCCATTTGACTCATTGATCGGTGAGATAAACAGATACGATAGTTGAAATTGTATCACAAACTTCCAACTTGAAGAATTGTAGGGTAGTTACTTTTATATCACGTTATAGGTCTGCTCAAGACATACACAAGAACACCTCCATGCATTCGGATTCCAAGACTCGAATTCAAGAGGAAGATTGCTAAAATGACCAAAGGAAAGGTACATACACCCATAAATCGTATACTAGAACCGCCCTCGCCGACCTATATATTTTCTTATATGTGTGTTACAGTAAAAGATGACGATGCATAAAGACCCTCGATCACTAGTCAAAAGTCTGACGACAAAAACATATGTGACATTTGGAATCGTGTGCATTTTGGTGGTGAGCAACTGAAAGTAAACTTTTTCTGCTTTTGCTTGTAATATATTGTTAATTTGTCATTGTATTATTTGTATGTTCACATTGTCAAAAAAGTTGGAGATTTCTGAAAATTTAAGCATGGTTTCACGTGCATAAAGTTACAAAAAGGAGGGCTTTTCTAGCTGCATTGCATTGCCAGATACAAATCCAACCTAAAAAATTAAAGCTTTTGGTCAACAACCTAGCTAAAAATAAGCTCACCGGTCAATAAAGCAGGAAAAAGGCACCTCCATAAAATCATAATCTCATCCGCATATGGAGTCAAGATCGCTTTGCATTAACAAAAGTAGAACTACACTGTATTAATCCCTTCTTTTCTTTCTTGGATCCAAAGAGCTTGAATACAACTTTTTCATCAACGTATGAGATGCGTAATGATGCTTAAACACCTATTTTGAGATTATCAAAATTCATACATACAGGTGCATTGTAAAAATGGTGGTGCTATCCACACATATATTTTTACTTTTTACGCAACCCTTACTAATTTCTATCATTTGATCATCTTCGACTCATTCGATCCGACGACTGGAGATTAAGAGAATGTGTGGGAGATTATACTTAGTTACATGCATTTCATGATTAGCTAAACATAAACCAGAAGCTACGTACAATAATTAATAGAAGATGGCTAGCTTAATTAGCTAATTAATTATGGTGATGAAGATGATATGATCACGAAGAATCGAATTTGTAGTGTTTATCGATAGCAACTGAGACGTCCCATATGCAACTGAGTCCCTTGGGAATGGTCACAAGGTCCCCAGCACCAAAATTTACAAACTCCTCATCAGAAGACGATGATGATGATGAGCCTTTTCTAGGGTAAACCTTCACCTTGCCTTTCACCAGATAACATGTTTCCGCTGCGTCAAACTTCAATGTGTACTTTCCAGGCGGACACCCCCATCTGAAATATTACACGTAAATTAATAACATATCTCAAATCGGAATCAAATGTTCGAAAGTAAATAGCTAACAAATTAATTACCAAGATTTCATAAAGATGGATCAACTAAATAGTCAGGTTAGTGTGGCCGGTCCTAAATTTGGACATGAGTTTGAATCTCTCTCTCGCAGTTGCTAGCTAGATTAGTTTCAAAATCAACGTTCGAAAGTATATAACTAGCAAATTAAGTGTGTCAAGACTTCGGAGAGATCATCATGAAAAACAACATACGTACGTTAGACCTTAGATACGAGTTCGAATCTCTCCTCGGTGTGTTAAAGAAAAGGATCATGAAAACGAAGAACTATAAGCTGTGAACTCATTAGAAGAGAGCTAAGAGAAACTAAGACTTACTTGGGCCATGAGTTAATACCCAACTCAGATAATCGTGAATCAGAGGGATTGCTTTCTACTACGATTCTTAGATTGGAAAGTGCTTCTGCAGAAGCATTTGATGATGCTGTAGCTGACATGAGGGACAATGGGAGAGCTGAGAGGAAAGGAGGAAGAAGAAGAAAGGGACAGTAGGAGGAATGGATGAGAAAGGAGTTGTGGGGTGGTTGGCCTACTCGTGTTTATATATATATATATATATATATATATATATATATATATATATATATATATATAAACGATCGAGAGAGAGGACTAGGAGAGGAATCTTTACACGAACCTAAAGCAAATAAAAAATAGAGCAAAAAAGCCTTAAAAGGACAATTATATTTACACATTTAGACACATTTTCGAAACGTGGATATGTTCTGTGTTTCTCAGAATCTGATTCTGATATGTATGAAATTTGACTAAAATGCTTGTCCTCAAGGATAAATACAAGAGGCTATATCCCAAAAAGCAGAAGCAGATGCAGAAGATATGTGCAAAAGTGCTTCTGGGGAAGAAGAAATCTAAAGGATACGTACAACAGGCTATCCCAACAAGCAGAAGCAGAAGATACGTTCAAAAGTGCTTCTGGGAAAGAAGAGAAGAAATAAAAAGAGAACAACCGGAAGCCACTCTTTATCAGAGCCAGGTTTCGATCCTGGGACCTGTGGGTTATGGGCCCACCACGCTTCCGCTGCGCCACTCTGATCTGTTGATGTTTGTCTAACATAAAAACATATTAAACTATTTACAGTGCTGAAATAAAACAGCGGGCTCCTAATTTAAAAGACCCCAGAATTATGACCAAACAGAATTATATGTTTTGTCACCAAGTAATATTAAATTATTTTGTAATACCAAAAAATATGTCGCACCAAAATAATTGGATTTTTTTGAAGATTTGATGCACTTACTAATTCATATGATATGGAATGTACAAAATGAAAACTTTATTCTCGATTCTATGAGAACTTTACGAAAGCCTTTCATTTGCTTCACTTGATGGAAGTTTGATTTTCCTATAATGTATTCTAATTTTTTTTTCCTGATAATCGATTCAACCCTTGATAAAAAAGATATACCTTAGTTATATTTCATCTCTTCAATAAGTTTAATAATGAGTATAACGACCCTATTGTTCAAAATATGCAATAAAAATCTATGAAAAACGGGTGCACTCGTAACGTACTTTTACGAATGGAAATTATGGGGATACATTTCTTTTCAAAGAGCAAGATGCATTTCTGTTTTAAAACTAATTAATATCTTCCATCTTTTAATTTTCAACCATAAATGGAGTCGTATCATATGATCCACTATAAAAATGTTGACAGACTCGGATGAGAAGCTCACAACAAAAACCAAATTTCACAATCTCATCATATTTATATAAACCCTAAACCCTAATTGTTGCTTCTTTCAGAATGGGTTTCTTCGTCTCCCTTTTCAGTTTTGCTACCTGTAACTCTCTCTCTCTCTCTCTCACTCTCTAGTTTCTTATTAATATTATTTAATTTAATTAATATATTTGCATGATGTTCATATATATTTCAGGTTCATCAATATTGTTACTAGGAGTATCTGCAGGAGTGGAAGCAAATATCGGGACAGAGGCTGTCGACGTACAACCATGCAGACGTGATGTGGATTGCTTTTTCTTCCTCCCAAAATGTGAAAGCCTCAAATACTGTGATCGTGGCTGGTGCAAGTGTTTTGAAGGCCAAGTAACCATCGATCCTCCTCTTGCTAGTGTCGAGGCTTATAACTCGGGAACAGCAGTAGAAGAAGCTGCTGCCGATGCCAAATGTTGGCGAGATGTTGATTGTGAATTCGCAGTTAAAGTGTCCGCCTGGTGACATCAAATTTTGTGTTCACGGAAAATGTGAATGCGTTGAAGGCTCGAAGAACCCTCCTCCAGCTGATGAGGCATCTAACTTGGATAATTAAATGTATCCCAAGCGGCGTCAAACTTATGCAAATTATGGAAAATGCGAAGAAGGTTAATGAAATTAAGTGTGCACGAAGATCGTACCGTGGCTTTTCGTTAAAGTTCTCATTTTAAGGAAAACTAATAAAAATAGCTTGAAAACTTTGAGTTTTAACGATAAGGACAAAATAAAAGATAAAGTGAATAGTACCATTATTGACTTTTTAGTTTAAAAATGTGATTTTTTTTGTTAAAGTGAATAATACCGTGAGCTTTTTGTTAAAGTTCCCTTAATTTTAATCAGCTACACTTTTTCTTTATCTAATGAATAAATCATTACAAATTTCGTATCGGTGTTGTGATTTCGGTTTCTATTTTATTTAATAAATGAATACAATTAAGACGATTGTTATTAGTATTCTAAAAATAGATCTTTTGCATTCATCTTACTTTATTTCAATAATTAGCAAGCAGTGCAGACGACTTTTTGAGATCGCAAATAAGAACATCCCAAAATTAATACAAACTTGCATGCATAGTATTTTTTTTCTTATGAACTATGACATTTTATTCGCAATTAATAAACATCCAAATAAAACATTATATATCCATATCATGTGAACAAAATTGCTACTAGTACACCGGATATACCACTTTACCAATAAAAAAATAACAAAACAAACGTCAAGAAAACTGAATTAGAAAGTTGATGTCAAGGAAGAAGTTTTGAAGCAAATTTTGGGGCGGATGCTCTTGTTATTGTTAGTCAGTTTTGCTCTGATATTCTGTACTGGTTTGATATTGAAGTGCTTTTATAAAAAGTGGGTATAAAAAAAAGCTGAGCTCAAAAAGTTGTTTGGTAAACACTTAAAAAAGAGTTTATTTTCACAATTTTGAGTGAAACAAAAAACTGAAAACGTGAAGTAGCAAGAATAAGCTTATTCTCACAGCACAACAGAATTTTTTTTTTTTTAAAGCATAGCAGTACCAAACCGGCAAACTCTTCCTATTGAGGTGCCTTCCGCTTGGTTTTGAAATTTTTGTAGCTTTCTTGCCCTAAAGGCTTTTCTTTGTAACTTTTCCTTTCGTATCGATAAAGGAAGGATTTTAAAGAGAAAATAACAGAAAGAGATGGGTCACCAAAAAATTATATGAAATTGAAAGAGATGTTGATGTTATATGGTGTACGTATACATACATAATGGCAGAATCCGAAAATGTTGCAATTGTATGAACAGGGTCTTTGTCCTTCACCTTCTATAAATAGCCCAAGTCTAATAAAACAACATGGCAACTAGTTTCACTAGAAAATGGCACAAAATTGACCCCTTTCTTTTCGTCCTTCGTTCATTCTTTGTTTTAAAAAATTTATTATTATTAAAAAGACTAAGAGAGTTCGAAATTATTATAATGAGAAGAAATGAGAGTTCTGAATTTGGAATGCAAGGCTAAAAATCCAACAATATATTCATCTTTTTCGTTCACGGTATATCTTCGTAATATCCATTATTATTCATAGTATGATTTTCATGTTGGCATAAGATGAGCAAAGCATGTGGTCTAATATCCTAGTTGATGAGATATTAGCTTTCTCCTCATGCATCTTGGATTCAAAACTTCCAAACTCTTAAATTATTGTAATAATTTTGAATCCTTCCCTTCTTAATAATACATGAAATAAATAAATAAATAAATAAATAAGATGAGCAAAATTAGTTAATGGTGATATGGGTATGTAGCTTAGGCTCTTAAACTTTCAATAATAATGATAATAATTACTATTATTGACAAAATCATACCCTATTTTAATGAATAGGGAGTAGCTAGGCTGTAATATGAAGGTTGCACTGTCTTGATTAACTAATTCATGTAATATTAAAGAGCTAATTACAAAGTACACCGTTGGTTGATGTCACTTTCACAAAATAAACACCGTCTTTCAAAACTTTACATTACTATTTACAATATGAAATTGTTAACAATTCAAATCACTCTTATGTCTAGCCGGCCATTACCCAAATTTTTTAATTGCCCAATCTTAATTAAACACAAAAAAATGACTTGAAGTATTAAAACTTTCCTACGTGGGGTAGTAATGTGAAAAAATTGAAATATCGTGCCCCATCTCACCGTTACCCCAAACTTCGTCGATGTCTCTTGTAATTAACTATTTTTGGGTAAATTTTCGTAATTAGCTTTTGATATTAGGTAAAAAAAAACCAAAGAAAATGAATAAGAAAGAAAAACAACCTCCACCAGGTTGCTGAAAAACTTCCCTCTTTTCACACTCACCCACTAACCCCCACACCCACGGAGCATTCCTCTCTCTCTCTCTCTCTCTCTCTCTCCCCCATTCTTGATTTTGATGCGCATACTCTTCCCCCCAAACCCAATCAAAACCCCAACTCTCTTCAACTCCCTCCTTCTGCGATTCAACTCGCTCCGATCCCACTGTGCCAACTCAATGGCCGTACCTCCGCCGAAGTCAGCCATGGCTTCCGCCGTCGTCGACAACGAGGTGGGTCTCGCCCGCCGCTTCTGGATCAAGTTCAAGCGAGAATCGATTTTCGCTATGTACACTCCCTTCACGCTCTGTTTGGCTGCTGGGAATCTCAAGATTGAAACTTTCCGCGATTATATTGCCCAAGATGTTCACTTTCTCAAGGCCTTCGCTCACGCGTGAGTTGTTGTTGCTTTCTTTAATTTCACTTATTTGTTTTTGTTCGAATTTGCATAGTATGGTTTCTTTTTCTTTTGGGGTTTTGGGGACTGTTTGGTTGCTGGGAAAATGTTGTGGTTGAATCTGAATCCGAATCCGAATCTGGGTTTGTTTAAATTTTTGGTGACCTCTAAGTGTTTAAGCAAATAAAGATTTTTTTTTTTTTTTTAAAAAGATAGATTGTAAGTGTGGCAAGAAAGTATTCATTGTAATTCTTTGATTTTCTTTGTTCGTTAATTTGGAAATATTTGCTTCGTTTTATTGAGTTCTTTTTAGTTAGAGTGCAATTTTAGGTAGAAAATTTCATGAATTATTGAAATTGCAATTTACAGTTTTACTCTTAACACAAATAGTAAAGGGTTTGGTAAATTTTTGTGCTTTCGTTGTTGTGATCTTTGTGGTGACGGGAAAATGTGGGAAAAGAAAGGAAATTAGATTGTGAGTGTAGAGGTTTTAATCAATAGGAGGAAAGGATATATGGTTTGATGAAAGCTATCTATCGATTATGTATTTTCCAGGACACAGAGTTCTTGATGTTTCATTTTAGGGATT